GTATGACATTTGACAACTGTCAACTAACTTAAAACTAACTTCAGCCCGTGGCTAAAAACCTGTTGCTAACTTCAGCCCGTGACTAAAGCGCCGTAAAGCCAGAACTTGTCTATGTGTATTTAAAAGGTCACTTAGTGTCATGGAAACATGTACGATAAAGGGCGTTTTAAAGGTGGGAGTAGAAAACAATATTTTAACAAAAATTGTTCTTTTACAATTTTTAACATAGTTGCTTATTTAAACCGTAGCAACGCATGACAACAAATTAAATAAAAACAGAATTTTGTCGGAAGTGTTTTTGAAGAAAATGAGGGTATTTTGGAAGCCGCGAGAGAAGCGACTCAAAATCTGCTTCCATCAAGTTAAAAGAAAAATATGATAAAACTTTTGAACAATTCTGTCAATGGAGAAACAATCAAGGAGTACAAGGTGTCAGTGAAAATGTTATGCTAGCGTTTTTTTTGGGAAAGGTAAGAAGCTAATGCTTTTAAAAATAAATTTTCTAATTTTTTCTATTATTATAATATAATTATAATATAATATTATAATAATAATTATTAGTCAAAAAATCTGAAGGCATCTTCACTGTGGTCCACATATTCGATGATGAAGAGTACGTTGCAAATATATGAAGGCAGTGACATTTCAAAATACAAGCAAATAATTGCATTTTTGAAAAAACAGAATGAAGGATATGAACCTATTTATTAGTAATTATCGTAACACTACGTAATATAAAAACAAAAAAGAAGCGAGTTTTTACCATAACGTCGGAATCAAACGGAATTGAGTTGTATCGGAAGTATCGTAAATTAAGGCCACAAAACACGAATCATTCCAGATTTTTCGTTTCTTACCGGAATGGTACATGCACTGTGTAACCGGTGGGGCAAATTTTTAGAGGCTCCAATCAACAGGAAGCTTCAAAGGATGACTCTTGGCAGCACTTATCCTCATCAAGTTTAACTATCATGGATGTTTCATTAAACGAATTTTCCAAAAGTACAAATGGAATTTCATTTCAAAATATATCTAATTGTACATTTAATATTTATGATATTTATAAAAATTGTAAATATTTTTTTTCGTTAAATGTCAGATTTGTATGTATGGTTGTGTTGCTAACGAGTCAAATTTTGCTTACTATTAAAGTATTGCTAATTAGTAAAATAAAACATTTTTTATTGAATTCTAGCTAATCAAATGGCTGTTTTCCTTTAAGGATACAAAAATAGTATTGTAGCGAGTACCGCTCTGGATATCGGAGTGATGACTCATCGCCGATGAGTCATCGCCGGTGAGTCATCGCCGGTGACTCAGCGCTCGAACAATCGAGAGTGTGGAGCTCGCTGGAATGTTCCAGAAGACCTTGGCGCTGAATATATAAGAAACGGAGCATCACAGTCCAGTCAGTTAAGTTTTAGTACTCGCGTCGAAATAAATAAATATAAGTGCAAATAAATAAACTCTTGAACAGTAGTGATACATAAATAATTAGTAGTTAAGTGTTTAGTTAGTTTTATAGTGTTTTAAGTGTAGTTAAGTTATTAAATAAATAGTTTAGTTCGTTAATTAACCAGTGCGTGTTTTAATTCACACTACGAACAGTTAAAAACGTTAATGTAGCGAGTACCGCTCTGGATATCGGAGTGATGACTCGCTACAGTATATTCGGTAACAAGTTTGGAATACGGCATATTCCGCTCGAGTGAAAAGTTTGTCACACGAGCCGAAGGCGAGTTTAACGGTTTCACGAGAGCGGAATATGCAATTACAAACGTGTTTCAGACTATACTTTTTCCACGTTTCCAAAAAATACCTTAGAAAAATAATTTAATTGGAAGAAAGTAAGGTTGGATCGATCTAAATTTCTTAGATATTAAACACAGAGATGTCGCCACCAGTGTTTATTCCGTCATCCGATGATAGAATAATTTATTCTGTAATACTTTTAGGAATATATGTCATTCCACATTTAAAAGTGATATTAGAACAGTCATATTCCGTAAGAGGAGTAGAAAAAAGTATTTTTAGGTTTAAAAATGTGGTAAATGTCGTTATAGTATAAATACAGTGGCGTAAATAACCCCGCATTGTGAGGGGGGCGCCTGTAGATAAGGTTCACCTGTAGATATTTTTTGGACAAAATTCGTCCGTAATTCTCATTTTCTTAATCCCCTCTTCTTATATAGGGTGCATCAAGTATCCTTTGTATTTGCATCTTTTTTATTTAAAGAGCCAAAGGGTGGCTTAAATTTGAAAAAAGTTGCATAATTACAAGTCTATAAAATGTAATTTAAAAATTGAAAAAAATCTAATAAAAAGTTTTTAAAACAAAATGATCAAAATATATTACAAAAAAGTCAGGCAAAACATTCAAAGCGACATAACATTATACAGTTTGACCCATTTGTTTGCGACTCACCCCTATAAAATCTTTATTTATTGTGCGATTTTAACAGGATTTCTTTTTTGATTTATTTAAAATTGATAAATCATTTTTACAAAATACAAGGCCGGCGTTGTCAGTTTTCGAGAGTAAATTTTTAAGAATTCATAATCTTGATTTTATATATGAAATATATAAATAAATTTTAATGACATTTTTTTAAGTAGGAATGATTCTGAAGCTAAATTAAAAATGCACAATAATTACTATTTAAAAAAATACTCTGTCAAGTTATCCACAAAAAAACCATTGAAATAAAATTAAACTAATAGTAACATGGTATAAATATTCTTATGCTTAGTTTTAACAAATAAAAAAAGGAATAAAAACAATAAAACAAAAATACTCTACAACTAGACTTTCGTTCCCTCTACTAACCCACCGTTTATTTCAATACTCTTTCTTATTTGTTTTGGAGTAATGGCTGCGCAGGCTTGTATTAGATACCTGTAGTTAAAGGCCTTTTATTATGGAAGTGTCCAATCGATTCTTTCTTATGGAATATTGTGTTGGGATAATAGCTCCTCTAGTAATAGAATTTTCATAGCACAAAAACGTATTTTAAGGTCTATGTTAAACTTACCCTATAATAGTCATTGTAAAACTTATTTTAAATGTAATCAAATTTTAACCGTCCCATGTAATTTATATATATAATTTATATACTAGAATGTATAGTGTATGTCCGTCTTAATATTAAAGATTTTAAAAAGTGCGGTGATATAAACAAATACGAAACAAGGAATAAAAACAAACTCTATGTCCCCACACACAATTTAACGCAAGTATACAAAGGCCCAATAATAACAGCGATAAAATTGTATAACAAGTTACCTAGTAATATTATAAAATTAAATAACTTTCGTAAATTTAAAAATGCTGTATCCTCGTATCTAAAAGAAAGAAGTTTTTATTCTATTGAAGAATATTTTGAACAATAACTACAATTTTATCCTGTTATGCTAATATATGTTTTTTTTAACAATATGTAAATGTTTACAATTCTATATGTTTTTTATATTATATTTTAGACGTTTTCCTATACAATTTTGTGAATTGTCACTTTTGGAAATAAATATTATTATTATTATTATTATTATTATTATTATTATTATTATTATTATTATTATTATTATTATTATTATTATTATTATTATTATTATTATTATTATTATTATTATTATTATTATTATTATTATTATTATTATTATTATTAGCTATTATTGTTCATTTTTAATTTCTCACTTAAAAATATTCAATAAAATTTAGTATAGGGTCGTTTTTAGGGGTGCTGAATCCCAAAGATAATATCTAAATCCTTTCAAAAACTGACATGGTAGAAATTGTATTTTGAAAAAATATGGTGCTTTTTACTTCAAAAATACAGTTTATCAAGATCTACAATTGAGGGACGGGGGTAACTTTGGATTTTTAATAGAAATGATTTTTTAAATTCGAATCTACGAAAAAAACTAGGTGTGTGTGCAAACAAATTTTTAATTTACGCTTTTGATTACTGAATTAAGATTTATTAGATTATAAGATACTAAAAAGTAATTTTTTCTACTCTCACGCCCATTATCGTACATGTTTCCATGACACTAAGTGACATTTTAAATACACATTGAAAAGTTATGGCGCTTTAGGCATGGGCTGAAGTTAGCAACAGGTTTTTAGTCACAGGCTGAAGTTAGTTTTAAGTTAGTTGACAGTTGTCAAATGTCATACAATCGTTAAAATAAAGTGCCTTTCTTGTAAAATAATACTAAATGTGAAAATTATTTTATTATCTCAATACAAAAGTATTAAATAGTTTCTCAACGCCAATATTTGAAAAGTTTATATGAACAATGTTCATTGAACATTGTACTGACCTTTTAATTTCGCCGGCAGTAAACTATAACTTAAATTCGGGCACGGACTCTACTGTAAAGTCCTCATAAAACATTTACTTTACTTTCACTGTGAAAAACTGTCAATTTTCAAGATACATTTCGATTTATAACCTTTATAATTGTGTTTATAAAATGTAAAAATGTGACATTTGACAGTTTCCCCTGTTGTTTCATAGATGGCGCTCTATAGAAATTTTTGATTTAAATCATTTTAAGATAATAATAAGTATTTGTCGTAGAAAAGGTATAGTATGCACCTCGTTTATAAACTTTTCTATACACTGATTAACTTAAGCACTCGCTCGCAAGCTCGCTCCTGCCTAAATTAAATTCGTGTATAAAATGACGTTTATCAAACTTGATACATAATATACTATTTAGTATCTTATAATTTAATAACTCATAATTCCGTAACCTAACGCGTAAATCAAAATTTTTTTGCACACATACCTATAGTTTTTTTGAAGATTCGTATTTTTTTTAAAAGTACATCCCTAGGAAAAGGGGGTAGGCGTCAAAAATATGTGTAAATATTAGTTTACCAAAATTTCACAAACAAATTTTAAACCGTTTTAGAAATAAAAAAAATTCACCCGGCATATGGATATCAATCTGTATGATTTAAGGTTGGGGAGCAAAACGATTTGTACACTTACCCTCTAGGTCGCTGAAAAAGCGCACGGTATCGGCGTGACGCGCCCAAGTCGATTTGACCACCGGCACCCGGTCCTTGTGGTATTTGTGGCAAGTTTTGACAGCGAAATATATGGACTCCTTCGGCACCAGCTCGCCCTGCAATGCAAAATTCATATGCAAATCAACTATGTATGTGCGCTGGCTATCTATTTGCTATATGCTCCGGTCACTGCCATCGCTGAGGAGCGCTAAAGCAGTGGCGTATCGATTTTAATAGAATTAATAAAATATCAAAAATTATCATTTCAATATTCGGTTCATCCATGTGTAAAAAAATTTAGTTTGATTGAAGTTAAAATTCGTTTACGCAGCAAAGTAGGAAAAATCGTTCGAAAAACATTAGGTTAGGTACATTATTTTGTTTAAACCTGCTTCAAACTATAATTTCCCACGATAATAAAAATTACTTATTTGTTAACATAAGTTTGTAGTTTGTTAATTTTATTTTTAAAATGTAAATATAATTTTTGTATAAAACCTGGGTTTTTAATTATTTTAACAAAGGGGTATTTCCGCGAAACCTTACCCCACCTTGACAAAAAATTAGTTGTGTTATTTAAAAAAATATAAACTATATCTGAAGTCAAAAAGTTTAATTGCAATGTAATTTATAGCCTTAAAATATTTGTACATTGTGATGCTGAGAAGCAAACATTAAGAATAAACACGGAAGAGTTTCAATGTCGCACCCGTTACATTTTGAGAAAATTTTATAAAATAAAGTATACAATATTTGTACATTTAAAATAAGTGCTTGTTTAAGGTTACTATTCAAGTTTTACACAACAAATTATTACTATATGCCTTTATCCAAAATTTTACAGTATCAATTTTAGAAGCTAACTTGGTCGCATATGGCGATTTTCTAAGGTTGCGCCCGTTACGCGATTCATGACGTTATAACGTCGGTAAAATATTTTCCTTGGGATATTTCCATTGTAACGGGTGCGACACTGACACTGCGTTTTTTCATGATAATAAGTCAAGATACGTATCAAGATGTCAATAAAAACTTATAAAATATATTTTTTCTACTCCCACCTTTAAGACGCCCTTTATCGTACATGTTTCCATGACACTAAGTGACCTTTTAAATACACATTGACAAGTTGTGGCTTTACAGCGCTTTAGTCACGGGCTGAAGTTAGTTTTAAGTTAGTTGACAGTTGTCAAATATCATACAATCGTTAAAATAAAGTGCCTTTCTTGTAAAATAATACTAAATGTAAAAATTATTTTATTATCTCAATACAAAAATATTAAATAGTTTCTCAACGCCAATATTTTAAAAGTTTATATGAACATTGTACTGACCTTTTAATTTCGCCGGCAGTAAACTATAACTTAAATTCGGGCACGGACTCTACTGTAAAGTCCTAATAAAACATTTCCTTTACTTTCACTGTGAAAAACTGTCAATTTTCAAGATACTTTTCGATTTATAACCTTTATAATTGTGTTTATAAAATGTAAAAATGTGACATTTGACAGTTTCCCCTGTTGTTTTATAGATGGCGCTCTATACAAATTTTTGATTTAAATTTAAGTATTTGTCGTAGAAAAAGTATAGTATGCACCTCGTTTATAAAGTTTTCTATCCACTCATTAACTAAAGCACTCGCTCGCAAGCCTAAATTAAATTCGTGTATAAAATGGCGTTTATCAAACTTGATACATAATATACTATTATAAGTTTTTATTGACATCTTGATACGTATCTTGATTTATTATCATGAAAAAACGCAGTGTCAGTGTCGCACCCGTTACAATGGAAATATCCTAAGGAAAATATTTTACCGAAAGTTTTGTAAAGGTAATATGCCATTTCGTAAGCATTTTGTTAATTTCAAAGGTTACACATTATTTTGTTAATGTTGGAAAAGTAAATGTGATTTCAGGCAGTCAATCAAAACGTTTTTCACTGACTATTTCCCTCGACTTAATTTCCACCAATCACAAACGCGCAATTTTGAATTACAAATGGTTTCTAGGTGAAAAAACTGTGTAACAGCACCTGTCAGCAGTTTTTTCGAGTTTACCCGCGGCAAAACTTGACAGCTGTTGTCACCAAAAATTGCAATTTATATTTTAATCTATGATTTTAATTGTTAACTGTTACTCATGAAATAGTCTTGTCAAATACCATTCGGGCATCTAATTTTTCCTGTGAAAAAACTCGAAAAAACACAATGCTAAGTAATATTTTTTAACAAAAAGCATTCGTGCAGGTGCAAAAATCCTCCTCTTCGACTCGGATTTTTGTTGCCACCAGCACTCATGCTTTTTGTTAAAATATCACTTTTCTTTTCAGAAAAATAAAATGCCTTTATTACTTACTTATTACTTACGACAATACGCATCAACAAGTTCAACGTCTGCAACTGTTTCTGCTTACATTATTCTTATTCGTAACGTGTTCGTATGTTTAAAATATATTACCAGTATGTTTATAATATAATCTGTTATTATTGTTATTCGGATTTCTTATACCTATTTAACGAGTGTGCAAATTGCGAAGAAAAAACATGCCATCACTGGTTTTCAAAACTGAAATTAGGGGATACAGTGAAGTGGGTTAAAGTTACGAAATATATCAGTAAGTGTTGTAGTGATAATTATATTGTACCAAATTTCATTATAATTTTATGATTTGTTATTTAATTGCGTGTATGTAATTTTTCTGATCATTTTTGTAGGTTCGTGTTAATTTTTTTGTTTAAGAAATTGAATATAAAAGCAACATTTCTTATCAAATTTTTGTTCATTTAAGTTCCCAATTTCCAACAAAAACTTTTGTTACTGGGTCTACAAAAGGGTTTGTAAAAATAAGGTCCCATTTGAAAATTACAAGAATTATGGTTGAATTATTGACATAACAAATATTTTTTTACTGTGTACAAAAAAATATATATGTAAATGAGAAGTAGAAGAAAGTGAGGTTAAAACCGTTTGACAGATGTTAGTTTGTATACGACAGGCGAATATGATGCGTGGAATAACCCGATTGGTTCTGTACGCCCCTGACCAAATTTGAGAGCACATATGGACATATTGAAAAGGCGATATATATTTTTATTTCGTGTGTTGACCCAAATCAGTAACTAGGGAGTAGCTACGGGGCCATTCCACGCGTAACGGATAGGACAGTTGCCGTGTTTTTATTTACAAAATAATATTGTTCTATTATATTACCAATGTCAAATTTTTATAAATAGTTCTAAACTAAAGCTGTTTAGCAAGGTTTTTATTTGGCAAAATTTGGTATCGTGGTTGACTGTTTAATTCCTTAAAAACTAGTAATTTAAAGCGTAACGGACGGGACTTTGTAATAGTCCCGTCCGTTACGCTTTAAATTATTAATTTTTAAGGAAATAAACAATCAATCACGATACCTAATTTTGCCAAATAAAAACCTTGTTAAACAGCTTTTGTTTAGAACTATTTATAAAAATTTGACATTGGTAATATAATAGAACAATATTATTTTGTAAATAAAAACACGGCAACTGTCCTATCCGTTAAGCGTGGAATGGCCCTACGGGGTAAACGGTTCGAGATTTATTAACTGATATTAATGCCTTTATCTAAAATTATACGAAAAACCGCACTGAAAGAAATTTGTTGCTAAAAGTAAACACAAATTTATACTAAAAATTTTATACTAGTGCTTTACACATTTATACTACTGTTTATTATGAATGTATGTTAAATTCTGTAATACATTTATTGTAAAGAAGATATGTTAGATCTAAATAAAAATAAACTTACCCTTACTATAAAATGTAAACTATAAGTGAATTACAGCAAAAAAATATTGCTAGAAACACATTTATATTGCTAGGGCAGCAATAGGCTGCTAACCAAACGAATATATTTGTTTTATCAATGTATGTGGTAGTCCAAATATGAAACATAAAATATATTTGCCCTAATTATTTTTTTATTTAACTTTAGTATATATTTCTTTCAGTGCGCACAAAATATACACGTACAAAAACTTTTTGTTGAATAACTCTGTTACATGGCACAAAGGGCGCATTATTCAAATTCAAAGAAGCGAACATTTTTACAAATTTTGCTGTTCAAATGTTAATAAAATAACGAAAATGCTTAGTTTACTTTTACAAAGATTTTCTTCAAAAAAAATACCAACATTTTACGGATCTTTGTCACGATATTCTTTTTCATAAAAAATTCAGATGCAATTATTTTTAAAATAAGGCGGATTTTTATTAACATGCCATTTTATTTCATTACATACAATATTTATGGGTATAAAATTTTAAATGGCCATTAATTAATTTACTTCAAGTAGATTTATTATAATTATTATTAATACGTATAAAACTAAATTTATAGTAAGGATTTAAAGTTATGCTATATTGTTTTATTGTTCTAAAATCCATTGATAATGGTTTTATATAAATACGAGGAATTTTAACAAAAAAAAGACAAACTATAATGCACAGAAACTAGTTTTGAATGGTTCGGAAACTGGTAAAACAGAAATTACTGCCAAAGTAAAGTAACAAAATAAATGCATTCTGAAACTGGCTCGAATAGTTCAAATTAAAATATCTTGTAGATCAATCAAATAAAATTATGGTACTTAAATATATAGTATAAATTTAAGAAATCGTGTATTTTAAAATTAAATATAAAGTTGTCTAAAGACACGGATATGGAGCTTGGAGTTGTAGTAGTGCACAACGTATTTTGAGCTTCGATACAGAAAATAATTTTAGAGATATAAATTTTGTATTAATTTTTATGAATCAATAAAAACTCAAAAATCATTTTTACATTAAAATTTACTGTGTACCCAAATAAAAGCTGATTTGTTTTACGAACATTTTAAAGTTTCTTAATACTTTTTTGTTAAAAGATCCAATTTTAATGTAAAGGAAAAAAAAAGTTTAAAAATTGCAAAAACATCAAAAATAACATTTCAGAAAAAATAATAAAATAGATATTTTACTTACACATAGCTGGAAAGTAGTGGGGAAGGCAGCACACTGCGGTTCCTCCTTTATACAGAGTGTTGGTTCGTCCTCCAACATTTGACCGGCGCCATTGTTCCACACAAACAGAGCCAGTTCATGGGAATTGTCAATGTTAAAATCAGACGGTGGGACGCTGTGTTTTTTTATTCTTTCAGCTAGTCTGAAACAAAAAATGACCAAATATAAAATACAAAATCCAGATAAGTTTTTATTTATTTTTATAAATATTTTTTTGAAATTGTTTATTATTTATTTCAAAAGAATTTAATTTTGTAACCTTACTTTCATAACTCTTTTGGTTAGGTAAAAAAATTTCAAAAATACAAAAAAGTTTTAGGGGGGGTACTATAACATATACAAATGTCAGGGGCGTTCCACGCCAAATCAGCCACATTTCAACCTGACCCCTTTAAGTTTTATATGCTTTAATACCCCCACTTAAAAGGTTTGTTTATTTTGTTTCACCCAACCCAAGAAAAGTTATAAATTTTCAAACAAATGGTGCTTTTTCTTAAAAAAACTAATCGAGATGTTTTGAAAAAAACACGTATCTTAGGAAAAAAATAAAAATAAAAATTTTTTTCTGAAAACTGAAATTTGTTATAGACTATAAGTTTGAATAATGTGTTTTTTTCTAAAATGTAGGTTTAAAAACAGTTTTTCTTAAGAAAAAAACAAAAATAAAAAACTACAAATTAATGTCTTTTTTGGATACTGAAAAATTTCATAAAACATGTGTTTAAATATTGTGTTTTTATTTTTTTGAAGTGCGTTTAAAAACAACAAAAAATAAACAAAAACCATCTCAATTACTCAGGGTGGGAGGAAAAAACAAGCAAAAAATTCACGGATTTTTTTTTATTAGGTTATCTCATAAAAGTACTACCTAAAATATTTTTGATTCAGCGCTTGATGTTCATCTAGAGTATAGAACTTTTTTTCAAAAAAACAATAGCAAATTCTAGTAGAAGTCCGTGGACCAAAAAAGAAAGCCAAACAAAAATTCGAATTTTTTTATTACGGTATTCGTTAGGATTGAGCGTTGCACGTTAATTTGAAAGATTTTTCGTCCAAAAATCTCAAAACTAGAAACTTCAATCTTCAAATTCCTTTTTTACGGCTCCAATACTACCATTTTTGGAGTTTTTTATCCTTTAATTTTTTCCATATAATAAGTGTAGAAGTTTTACATTGTTATTGGTTTCTTATGTGGAAACTACCAAATAATAATAAATTAGATTTTTAGTCTCGGTCAATATTTTCAATAATAAAAAATGTAATATATTTTACATTTCACTTTATTATTAATATACATTTTACTCAAAATTTCATATTAAAAAAAATCTTTTAAGATTGATGTTATTTATTGACAGAATATGCTATATTGTAGCGGATTTGAAAAAAAAAACGAAAAAAAACGGATCTGAAAAAAAACGTTTCATCTCTACCTATAAGTATAGGTAACGAAATAAGGCCGATATTAGACATATAACAAACAAGTATTTATATGGCCGAGGCCGACAGGCTTGTTATAACACTCATCTCAGTTCGTTATATGCAAAATGTTGTTGTATAATTTTCATAATACCCAAAAACAACCGATTTTTTTTGTAATTTGAGTCAAATTTTTAGACTGTGTCAATTTGAATGTCGTGTTCAAATTTAAAAAATGCCAAGATAGCAAAACCAATGCCTTTATCAAGAAATCTGGGCTTTGATAGCTATTGGTAACGGTTGTTTATTTGTAAAATTCGTTAAAAAAACGTGATGGTCGTGCATCTTTACTGTACAAAAGTTTGTTCGCTGGAAAGTTTAGACCACGCTTGCCAGGGGCGCTAGTCGCCAATTTTTTTTGTCACCGAGAATACCGTTATCATATTGACATTTGTCATAATAATTAGACATGAAAGAACTAATTTTGTAAAGTCTTTATTGTGTTGTCATTATTATGGTTTATTCTTGTATAAGAAAGTGCAAAAGCAGGGGAGATAGTGTAAAATTCATCGATTTCCCTAAAACGATGAGGTAGGTATGTACTATGCTCCACACCTCAAAGTACCACCACGTGACCACGTACGGAACGCAGTCTTTTGAAAATTTGGCATTTAAGGCTTTTCAGGTTATGTATCTGTCAAAGTATAGTCAATGAAAGAAATAATTTTTATAGTGTTACTGTTGTGATATTGAGTCCAATGGCTCAGTTAATAAAGGTTGGCGATGACAGTCATTAATTGTCATATGTGTCATAGACGTTTAATTCATAGTTCAATGTCTGTATTTGTTACTGAATAAATATACTTATATATCATCATCATTGTGTTATCTAGAACCCAGTCCAAGCTCTCGCAATAACATAACATGGTGTCAGGTTCGTAAGAAGCACAAAGAGTAAAAAATATAAAAACAGTTAAGTCAAGTTTAAGTTGTCAAGTCAAGTACATAATGTCTGAAGTTAAAAATAATATTCCACCATTGGAGATGGAAGGAAGTTTATCAACAAATTGGGAAAAATGGTCCCAAAGCTTTAAAATCTTTATGAGGGCAAGTGGATTTGAAACGAAGGAAGATAATCGTAAAGTGGCAATCTTTTTACACTGTATAGGCAGTAAAGCATTATCAATATTCAACTCATTTAACATAAACATGGATACATGCAAGTACGATGAAGTTTTGTCAAAGTATGAAGAACATTGCAAACCAAAAACAAATTTAACAGTTGAACGTCATAAATTTTTGTCAAGGGTGCAAGGACAGGAAGAATCTATTGAAGATTTTGTCACAGCTATTAAAAATTTGAGTCTCTCATGTGAATTTAAAGAATTACGAGAAAGTCTTGTAGCAGACATGTTTATTGTTGGACTAAAATCAACAAATCGAGTAATAAAAGAAAAGTTATTGCTTGAAGATGGATTAACAATCGATAAAGCAGTCCAAATAGCACAATCCATTGAAATGACCCAGAGTCAAGCACAAATGCTTTCAAAATACGAAACAACAATCTGCGAGATCAGAAAGGCTCCAGGTAAAAGTTGGAGTAGTCATTCCAATAAAGCAGCAGGAAAAAGCAGCTATATGTCAGGCAGTAAAGCGCAGGTTGCAGTAGGTAAAAACTTCAAGAAGAAGGTCAGTAGCGATGAATGTAATAAATGTGGACAAATTCATAGATTTAAGTGTCCAGCTCAAAATGCTATTTGTGTAACTTGTAAAAAAATAGGTCATTATGCCAAATGTTGTTTCCAAAATAAAAATAAAAGTGTTAAATTGGTAAATTTTGAAAATGTTAGTACCAGTGACACAGAAAAGTTTTTCATAAGATCTGTTAATAAAAATTATTCTAAAGATAACAAAGATTCAAATTGGTTGTTAGATGTCAAAATAAATAATATAGTTAACAAATGTAATATTGATACAGGTGCTGAAGCAAATGTCATGTCTTTTATAAATTTTAATAATTTGCATGTTAGCGATAATATTTTAAAAACCAATGTAAAGTTAACGTCATTTTCAGGTGATGAAATACCTGTACTAGGAAAAACAACACTTGATTGCATAATAAACAATGAAATGTTAAAAATTGAATTTATTATAGTAAAAATAAATTGTCAAACCATAATAGGTTTACCGACATGTAACAAGTTGGGCTTAGTCAAAAGAGTCTGTACAGTCAATTTTAAAACGATTTTAAATGACTATAATGAAGTTTTTAAGGGTTTAGGATGTTTACCTGATGAATGTAACATCACCGTTGATAAAAATATAAGTCCTATTATAAATCCGCCACGTAAAATACCTTTTTCAATATTAGATCGATTAAAAAAGGAAATAGAAAGAATGTTAAAATTAGATGTCATAGTCAAAGTCAGTGAACCTAGTGAATGGGTGAGCTCAATTGTCATAGTTGAAAAGAAAGATAAATCTTTACGCGTTTGTCTTGATCCAAGGAACCTTAATAAAGCTATTAAACGTAGTCATTATCCAATACCTACAGTAGAGCAATTGCGTTCAAAATTGTCAGGCGCAAAGTATTTTTCTACTCTTGACGCACAGTCAGGTTTTTGGATGATAAAACTTAATGAATACAGCTCTAAATTGTGTACATTCGCAACGCCTTTTGGTCGATTCAGATTTTTGCGTTTACCTTATGGTATTTCGTGCGCACCTGAAATATTTCATAAAACAATGTCAGAAATATTTGAGGATATACCCGGTGTATTGATTTATATAGATGATATACTCATTTATAGTGACAGTCTTGAAGGTCATAATACTATTTTAAAGTCAGTCTTAAAAAGGGCATGGGAAGTCAATTTAAGGTTTAATGCTAAAAAATGTAATTTTTTGTTACCAGAAATAAAGTATTTAGGTCACATTTTCAGTTCTAAGGGCATGTGTCCTGATCCAAAAAAAGTCAATGCTATATGTGATTTGCCAAAACCAAAATGTGTGGGTGATGTCAAACGATTCTTAGGTATGATCAATTATTTGGGACAATATATTGATAATTTAGCTGATAAGACGACAAATTTGCGTATGTTGTTAAGAAAGAATGTAGCGTTTCATTGGTCGGAATTACATCAAGGTGAATTTGATAACTTAAAGCAAATAATTATTCACAGTCCAGTCTTAACCTTTTATAATAAAGAATTAGAAATAACGCTATCGGTAGACAGTTCACAATTTGCTGTAGGTGCAGTTATTTTACAAAATAAGAAACCTATAGCTTATTCCTCTAAGTCACTGTCAGAATGTCAAACTCGCTATGCCCAAATCGAAAAAGAGTTATATGCGATACAATTTGGATGTAGTCGATTTCACCAATATATTTATGGTCATAGAGTCCTAGTCGAAACTGATCATAAGCCTCTCGTAACTCTTTTTGAAAAGTCTTTGTCAGAAGTTCCGTCACGTCTTCAACGCATGATGCTTAATCTGCAGAAGTACGACTTAAAAGTAATGTATACTCCAGGTAAATATTTATTTATTGCGGATACTTTGAGTAGAGCCCCTGTAGAGCCATCAGAAGATGACACTATAGAGGAGGAGGAATTACATATACACATGAATTTACTTACTTCAAATTTGTCTGTAACTCCTAATAAGTTAGAACAAATTAAAAAAGCTACTAAAAGCGATACGGACTTACAATTAATAATAAGTTAC